AAAAAGAAAGTGCGCACCGCAGCGGCTCTTCGAACCGCCAATGTGGTGAAATGGAAAGTTTATGTAAACTTAGTCGGCCATGCAGGAAAGGGGAGGAGGATGGGCGGACGCAAGAATTTTTTTTCTTTTCTTTTTTTTTTTTCCTTTTTTCTTTTTGCTGAAGAGCGATTTACTGCGCTCTCTCGATTCAGTTTTCAGGTTTTACTGTCCGTTTGTTGCTGTCTGTTTAGCATGGCGGTACCCCTTACTCTTCACTTCTTTTCCAGGTTGTTGTTGTTGTTGTTGTTGTTGAATTTTCCCCTGAACTTGTGGTAGTTGTGGTTCTTAATAGTGCTTAAAATTTTAGATTGATCATTCATGTATTTTGTCTGTTATTTAAGTTAAGTTAAAACTTTTTGTAAGAATTATATTTACTTTCATTTTATTCTGATTTTGACTGGTTTTTTTATAGTTTCGAAATAAAGAGCATTTACGCAAACAACCCCTTAAATGTAAGAAATAAAGTAATAACTTGCTTTATAAAGACCTCAGTGCATTTGTAACAAGACCTTTATTTGTGAGCATGGCGTTTGCCGTCCAGTTACTAGTTACAAAAACAAAAAAAAAAGAATCCTATCACTCTGCTATGGCACGTATTACAGTAGCATATTTGTGAAAGTAGCTCTTGTACTCCAATAAAGCCCACGTATTGCAGTAGCTGATATCACCTCTCTTTTAGTAATAGTGAATACTGGTAGAATTTTTCTTTGTGTGTGTGTGTCTGATTTACGACACAAATAGCACAGTCTCCTCCTAGATATTGTGGCCTGTCTTTGTTAGTATTGTCTCCCAAATAATATTTCATTCAGAGTTAGAGGAGGGTTGGCGGGGGGGGGGAGGTGAGTAGGCTCCGTTTCTTTTCTTTCCCATCGTTATTTCTGTCTGTCTGTCTTCCTTTGTCCCCAGCTCTAAATGGCTTTCTTTAGATCGATATTATTTTCTTTACTCCAACTGAAAATCTAATGATTAAGTATTTATCTATTACTTAGTTGTGTTTGAAAGTTGGGCAAGGCCAGTTACAGAGATTAAGGTGGTTGTTGGATTAAAAATGTGTCCCGCGCATCTGGCCTGAATTCAAGCAATTTTCAGAATAATTTCGCTGACACGAATAACTGGAGCCAGTCATAGTCTGTCCCATTCTGGTGTCCCACTTTAACAAATGCGGATGCAAACGAGCAGTCGGTTCTGCTGTTGGTTTCTTGTCTTTGTATCCTTCTCCATTTCCCCTGATAAAAGAAGTCTGCTTCGGACATGCCACTGGATCAGCTGGTATCATGTTTGGATAATGATGTGTATAACCCTGGTTCAGATCCCCAATCGGCTGTATTTGGATTTTGGTCGTTAGGAACGTTTTGAAGGCTCTCTGGTAACTTTAGTCAATCCTATCAGAAATAATAAACACTGAACTCGAAGGCCCCACCTCTTAAATAATCTTGCGGCGTTGAAAATGAGTTTTAAACTAGCACCTTGCCAAGTCTCTTTGTTCTTGAATGTCTCAACGCTTTGATAGCGCATGAAAAACTTTTTACTGCAAAATTCGTTCTATTGCTAAGGTTTGCCTATGTTGCACGGTCGCTAACGTCTTAGATATTTCTATGACTAAGTGCATCTGCCGTGGCATCCGCCTTTTTCGCTTAACTCTGGTTTGCTGCACGGGTTTTGAGCATAGCATGCCTGACTGTAAAGACTAACCATTACATATTTCAGTGATGCTAATTAATCTGGGTTTTGAAAGCTATTTTTACCCCTTTTATTTTGTTGCACGGTCTTGTGCTGTACATTTTGTTGCATGGCATTTACACATTAACATTAACATTAACGTCGCCCGCGGGAGTTTGGTTAAAGTGAGAGCGAATCGAACATGACACGAGGCAGTTTGTTTTTAACTTGTTTGTCAGTACGTGTACTACATAATTTCCCCACCCCCTCTACCTTTTACAAGTTTACCTTTGAAAAAAAGAAAAGAAATTAAGAACACGAATCCAGCTGCTCAAGACCGTACGGTTGTGCTGGGAAAACCCTAAATTATCGTTAATGTACGAGTTTTGTCGTCAGTCAAGAAGAGGAACAGACCCTAAAATCATGAGACGGTCAATGAATTTGAATTGAAGGACATTACGTTGGATACAAGTATCGTGTTAACTGGTCCATTTGGGTCTCCTTGAAATATCTCTATTTTTCTGCAGTTAGGTGGGATTTATAAAGAGTATTTTAATGTGTCATAGACCTGTAGTGAAGAACTTTTGTGCAAGCACATTTTTGATAATTGTATTATGAAATATTTCGAGAAGTAAAGGTGTGTACATCAGCATTTAGTAAGAAACTTGACTTGCCATTTCAAGTATTTTTAAAAACGTTTTGTAATACCGTCTAACAAGTTAATGACTTGAATTTGCTGTATGTGTAGATGACATAATATGCATGATATCATTAGCTGAATAGAGATTTTTAAAAAAATAAATCTAATAACAGCTTTGTGTAGTTTTTAACTAGATGTCGTGTTTGCCAATTCTTCTATTGAATTGAATTAACATTGCCTATTAATAAGTAGACTTAGGCAAAATGTATGAGGCAAAATGTATGATAGCTAAATAGACAATACGAAAGAACATATTACTAGGTAAGAATGATTCAATGTTATTGTTCGGTGCAGTACAACAAAGACACATCTTTCAGAATTTCACAAGACAAAAATATGTGGCCGATCAGAAGCAGGTCATTTGTCCTGGTATTCAGACCTTTGAAAGCTATTTGTTGTTGGTGGTGGTGGCTTTTTTTTTTTCTTTAGTAAAGATTAAATTTCTTCAAAATTGGTCATAATTTCTGATTGGCTAACCCC